GTTAATGAAATTACGGTATTTAACTGTAAATTTAAGTTAAAACTGTAAAACCTAAAACGTTGCTACTGTATTTTTTACGGTAAAATACCAGCAACCACAGCTGCCGTTTTTTTTACCGTAAATTTAACGGATTTTTTTTTACAGTGTAGTACTGCAAACAGGAACAAGTATACTACATAGAAATTTTAGAGCGGAATATTGAACGGAACGTCACACGGTGCAGTGATGACGGCTGGAGGAGAGTGAAACCTGAACACTGCTGGGCGGCGCGGCATATATTTTCGGCGGCCGAAAATTCAGTGCATCCCTAGTAAATGGACTAAACGATTCTTCGAAGCACATAATTTGCCTCGATGATTTTTTGTATTCGAGTTACTCGAGGAATCGTTTCAGCCCTAGATTTTACCATGCTGAAAATACTGTAGGCTTGGGCGATAAGACGGTATCGATATTTATCGATGGTACACCTTCGATAAATACCAGCAACCACAGCTGCCGTTTTTTTTACCGTAAATTTAACGGATTTTTTTTTACAGTGTAGTACTGCAAACAGGAACAAGTATACTACATAGAAATTTCTTGTCGGCGTGTTATTTGAGCGGACTTAGCCTTTCCGGTGAGCATGAGCGGTAAATGAGCAGAATGCACATTGATAGAGTGGAATAATGAATGGAGCGTCACACGGCACAGTGATGACGGCTGGAGGAGAGCGAAACCTGAACACTGCTGAGCGGCATATATTTTCGGCAGCCGAAAATTCAGTGCATCCCTAGTAAACTCAAACACGAACACATGCTGAAATGAGTGCTGTGCCTGCCTGTGATGAGGAGATTAAAGAAGAATAAAGAATGAATATTAGTCGATATATCACAGCTTGGGCTAGAGACGTTGAGCTCCGTAAAGCCGCATTTGACAGGGTATGCCAGTCACAATCTCATCCATATTGTTATAAAATATAGCATTCTGTGTAGAATGTGTGCGGTGCTTAGCGTGACACAGCGCGAAACCAGACTTCTTTTTTTTCCTCAGTGGAAAGCATATTTACACTGTTTGAATTGTTCCCTGTCCCCTATATAGTGCACTACGTGCCATTCACTTGACGAACTGCAAGCTTTGAATGCTTATATCTTCTAAATGCAAATTTTGTCACTGTTTTGGAGCACGCTGCCTTATAGATAGCCTTAAGACTAACATATTGATACTAACTTTAATACTACTACTTTAATTTTGATTTCATGGGGACTTTAAAATAAAAATTTGCATTTGAATGTTAGGTGTGACCAAGCCATTCACACAGAACGCATATTCAGCGCATTTTCTAGACGGACAAATATGACTGCTGCACTCGCGTCTCTCAGAATAGAGATGTACAGAAAGCCATGCAAAGTTAAAACAGTTTAAACTTTTAGAAAACACGTCACAAATTTGTGGAGGTTTTATTCCTTTTCACTGCGTCTCATATGTTTTTAAATGCAGTCTGAATGAATGGCGCTTCGGCTCTTTGGATTAAGCAATAATTGGATTAAGCATAAATACATGATGCTGTTTTGTTCATAATTGTTTATGCAATTTACAAAATTATATTAGATTTTTATGAGATAATTTAGACGTAATGCACGTTTTTATAGAGTTACTTGCTAAATGCGCTGCATTATTTTGCTCATTGCTCTGTTTTAAAAAAGGTTATAAAAATGTCAATAATTATTGATACCGAACGATATGAAACATTATATCGTTGATACATTTTTTAGCTATATCGCCCCGCCCTACTGGAAAGCTGTTAGCAAGGTAAAACACAGCACCTCATCCTATTTAAAGCATCGCAAAAATGTAGCAACTGCTTGATTATTTTTTTCACTGCAGAATGTAAATTACATTATCATCCAGCTCTAATCTGCTAAATGTAAAAGCAATAAGATATTAGGATATTATTAACATTAAACACCATAATTTTCTGTAAAGCTGCTTTGAAACAATTTATATCATGAAAAGTGCTATGCAAATAAAAAAACGACTTGAATTTACTTTTAAAAAACCCAATAACGATAGACTAGTTGACCAATTAACTAGTGGTTGTCGGCTGACTAGTCAACAATCTTGCCTCATTCTTGAGTAAATTGTAGTGATAAAATAGAGAAAAGGAAGAACTGAGTGCCATTTTACAAAAATAGCTTATGGTCAGTGTTATTATTGATTAAATAAAAACTATTAAAAATCATTTTCATTAATTTAAATAAAGCTGAAATTAAATAAAAATATTAGATGAAATCTTAACTTCAGAAACATAACTGAAATTAGAAATGTTGTTTTGGCAACTAACTAAATAGGTTTAGGTTAAAGTAATACAATTATTAAAACTAAAAAGGAAATAAAAATAAAGCTAAATAGAAATAATTAAAATAAAAATTACGAAAAGCACATAACAAAATCAGCAAAACAAGCTAAAATTAAAACTAAAAATAAAAGCTAATTTAAAATATTCCTGAATACTATAATAATACATAAATATAGCTAAATTAGCAATGCTTGTGGTTAGAGAAATATTGGGATAACATGCCATAAATATAGCATTTTCTGATTTTTGTGGAGGAAGATCATAATCCAGCTAACACATCACATATTAGGACTTCACAAACCTGTTGGCCTGCAGGCTAACTATTGCAGTAGATATCCCAAATTATACTGGCAGTCCAAATAACTCACACTTGAAGACAAACCCTAAAGAAAAATTAATAATTAAAAAAAATTCACCAACCTTAGAGTCTCTGCCATGCGTCTCAGATCTTCATTCTGCTGTTTCAGCCTTTCCAGCTTGGCCAGGATCTTGGAGAGCTCTCTGCTGGACCGTTCCGGATGCTCGCTGTCCCTCACGAGGTGACCCCCGATGTAGAAAAGCAGGGTGCCCCAGGCCAGCAGCACCAGCATAATCCAGCGCCACGAGCCCGTCCACGGACGCATGGCGCCTAGTGCTGCCCAGCGCACACTCTCCTTTCACAACACGGGAGTTTGAGGCATACTCAGCTCAGCGGCAGCGCACCACCACAGGGCTCCTTCAGAGTGGAAGGGGGACGTCGGGGGTCGCTGGGTCTTGCTTGTGTGTGCACTTAGAGGCTTGGAGGTTATATCATGGCAGCGGCCCCTCGCAGAGAAGGGGCGGAGGGTTTCGAGATCCCTTGAGACTTCACTTATGAGACTTCACTTCAGAGAGCTGACGGCTCTGATGAGAGCCTCTGCAAGGGATTCTGGTCCTAAAAACACAGAAGCGTGTATGATCAGTGAGATGATAGGACATGCTTGTGTTATCTGTGAGAGATAAAGGCATAAGTGAGGTCTGAGATTATCTATCAGCTCTGCCTGTTCCTCCACAGAATATAAAACTGGATTGAGCTCAGCTGCTGACAACGCTCCAGTCATACAGCTGTTACTGAGGATTATAGTGAACTCAAGGAGTAAGCGGTGAGAGTTAGTTGACAAGTCAGCGCAAAGTGAAAAAGCACATAGTAAATTCCTCAAAATTAATCTGTTACAAAAATGTGCAGGGAAGGACAAGAAAGGAAATAACAAGAGTGATATCTTGATAGGTTCCAAATACATAATAGACATATACATAAAGGGAAATACCAATGACACAGGGAACAACTGTACATCAGTGTATCACTTCATAGGAAGTAGAGAAGAAAATTTCCCCTTTAGTCATTGCACACCACTATCGCAAACCAAAAATAATGTTTGACTTGTTACATTGGCATGGGTTAAATTGTAATTTTATGTACATAAATACAATAAAATATATAAGAATAACACACATGTGTGTTATACATATATATATATATACAGTGGGTACGGAAAGTATTCAGACCCCCTTCAATTTTTCACTCTTTGTTATATTGCAGCCATTTGCTAAAATCATTTAAGTTAATTTTTTTTCCTCAATGTACACACAGCACCCCATATTGACAGAAAAACACAGAATTGTTGACATTTTTGCAGATTTATTAAAAAAGAAAAACTGAAATATCACATGGTCCGAAGTATTCAGACCCTTTGCTGTGACACTCATATATTTAACTCAGGTGCTGTCCATTTCTTCTGATAGCACTTTTTTATATGTTCTACATTTCATGTATTTATGTAACACATATTCTACATTAAAAATACATTTAGAATGAACAATAACTGCTGTACAAAGAGTAAAAAAACATACCTAATGCAGAAAAGCCGCCTCTTTTTCCGAATTGCGCAGATGACCAATATCTTTCTTTCATCTCTTCTGATAAATTTTCAGTCAAATCGTTTTCTGTGTGCTAGATCAGAGCTAGAGCCCTGCATTTCAGCCCGGGCCCGATGGGCCTCGACTTTTTTACGCCCCTTGGGCTGGGCTTCGGGACAATTTTTACATCATAGTTCAGACGCGGGCAGGGCCTCGGGCCTGTTTTAGCCTTCTCCTTATTTTTATATTTTAGACATCCATCAATTAGTGATGAAAAAAGATTGCCGCGCTGGTG